AATTGGTAGCAAGTGGCGACATCATTTTTCTTTGTTTCCCAGGAAACAAAGCTTGTCTCATGTTCAAACAACCTTTGAACCATGTGCCGGGCCCAGTTGAAAACAGTCTGAGTGTAGTCTAGTTAGGACAATAGCCATTAAAAACCTAGTTTCGGAAACCCTTCACACACACGGCCATCAATTTACTGTAATCAGCGGCACTGTCTAAGACTAAACAGAGGAACAGAGACTTTTATTCCGCCTCAAACAAGTGCTCTATCTCTGGGGAGTGCAGGGGTTGATGGTCAGCCCAACAGGCTATCTGGATGTGGCACAGTAATTAGCGCTCTTTAGGGGTGTGATTTTGGAGTCGGCGTCGGGCATTCTGTCTGATCCCAATCAACTCTTCTTTTATTTGCTAGCTGGTGAAGAAGCGGTCGGGGGTGACGTGCTACCCCTGCCTCATGCCCAAGTCTCTCTCCGCACCCATGGTGCCAGCTGAGTACCACGGAAAATCCACACAGGCTAACGTTCAGGTGAGTTTTCAACACCAAATTACATGAGTTCCTGCTTTGTACTGGCAATATTAAGTTAATATCCATCATTTTTTAGAGAAATGTGTGTTTTGTGATAAGTCATTCCTTGCGATTCTATTCCTTTTCGCCCCAAACAAACTAAAACAAGGTTTTGAGATCTGTGTGCCAGTGGTCTATTGGGTCAAAGGTCCATGAGGAGTCCATTCATTTGGCCTACGTGTCAGCCATCCAGACCAGCAAACATTTCATATATATAGAGGTAAAATACATAACCACAAGTAGTGTTGGGGGTAGCGAGTTTGCTTAATCAGATAATATTTTTCAAGTAACTTTTCTAAACTTACTAGTTACTTTTACATTTATTCTTTGACACCTCTCCTGTCCCCATGTTGAAATAAAAATCAGGAGTGAGATGCAGAGGCGTTATGTGCGCTGTGTAAACATTGTAGTTCTAGACTAAATGTGAGAATGCATTTACTCATCTCACTTGCACAAAACCAGATTCGGTATTCCTCAAATTGAATAAAACAACAATAAATTAACAATAAATGAGTTACTTTTTTTAAGGGAGTAACACAACATTGTAACATTACTTTTAAAAGTAACTTCCCCCAACACTGAAACAAGTATACATCAGCTGCACAATTTGGGATAGGGCCTATGCCTGGTCATGAGTGCAGAATAAAAGGTTTTTATTTTTTTAGGGGTGCAGTCATTTATTTACCCAGTTGTTCATTTACAGTATATTATTGTTATTTCATATGTAAAAAAAAAAAAAAAAAAAAATGTTAAACAAGCAAAGACAATTATGTTTTTACAAAATAATTATATTTCAAATAAGTGCTGTTCTTTTGAACTTTCTATTCTATAAAACATATTCAAATAGAAAACAGATATTTTACATTTTAATAATATTTCACAATATTACTAATTTTACTGCATTTTTTATCAAATAAATGCAGCCACGGTGAACATAAGAAAAGTCTTACAGACTCTGAACTGAAGTGTAAATATATATATATACTGTATAAATATATAATGCATACATGTATTAAAAAGAAACTAAAATCTTTTTTTTTTTATAAACAACTGATCCGGAACCCTGTTTTATGAGATTGGTGATTCTTGCATAATGCTTCAGATGCAGTTCCTGTGCCGTATTTTCAGTTTTTAGTCTTTCAGGCATCATCTTTCTCTTCTCCCTTTTGTCTCTTTATCTCTCAGAACCAGTTCTTCATCAGTTGTGCTGACAAATCCATCCACAACAGCATTGGAGATGCGCTCACGGAGAGAATCCTGCGGGCATACAGGTGCATCATGACAATAGATACACTCGTATATGAATTTGAACACAAAAAACATCAACGGGCACACCTAACTCCTATTCATTTCCGTTTATGACTCGGCCACAGGGAGAGAAAAAAATTTCGGGTCTATGTGGTGATGCCCCTGCTGCCCGGCTTTGAAGGTGACATCTCCTCAGGGGGGGGGCAAGCCATCAAAGCAATCATGTACTTTAATTACAGGTAATTCCAAACATGCGTCTTCTGTAATCACCAAATTGCCACAATTAAGGGCAAAAATGCAGCAAATTACACGTGTGTAATGTGGAAACAACGGTCCCCACTACTCACGAGAGAGACGCAAGAGACGATTACAGCCCCAGCTTGGAGGCTCAACACTAGGCTAGATAAGGGGAGTAGAGAGGATGCTGTGGTAACTGGGGTTCAGCAAGCGATGTGATTGGTCGGGTGAAGGAGAATTAAGACACACGATTGGTGCAAGACAGACAGTAGATGAAATTAAACCTTTCTTTCTCCATTACAGGACAATGTGCAGAGGGGAGCGCTCCATTATTGAGAGGCTCAAATGTGTGAGTAAGTAGACTAGTATGCAGAAATATAGATTTAGACTATAGCTGTCACATTTGCAGAAATCATGCCCATCAAATGTGGATTGCATAATTTGAATGTATTATAACAGGATCTGGATGAAGAAAGTGTGTGTGTGTGTGTATTTGTCTGTGCAGTGGCAGATTGCTGGATCAAGTACATCTCATTCTGCGGTCTGCGCACTCACGCTGACCTGGATGGGCGTCTGGTCACTGAACTCATTTACGTGCACAGCAAGCTCATGATCGTGGATGATTGCACTGTCATTATTGGTCAGCCAATCTCCCCTCTCACACATATAGAAAAATAAAATTGGGTCGTTCTCAGGAAATGGTATCATTTGTGCCAGAAAATTTAATGAATCAATTTCATACACAATTTAAGACACAATATTTTCCCACGTTTTAGGCTCAATGAAGCAATGCTATAATTGAAACATAGGTGGAGGTGTCTTGCTTGATATTCAGATTAGTGGTTGACAAATATGATTTTTTTTTTTTATTGGCTGATACGCACTACTACCTTAAGGTATATTTGGAAAAACAGCATATTAAAAAATATATATATATATATATATATCTTGAAACGCACCTGGTCATGTTGTTTGAAATCTTTAAACTGTAAAACTATTATTCGCCACTAGGGGACACTGCACTCATACAAAACACATCTCGTGTGGACATGAGCAGAATAACAAACACCAACAGATGTTTATGAAAAGCGAAGTCACGCCTGTCTCCTCAATCCACACAAATGCATTATTAAAATCCCATTAACGTCGCTCAAATCCTGTCTGTCTTTATCAATTCCAATTATCCTCTTATCTTTATGAATAGGCTTTGAAGAAGAAAAACAAGAAACCACTGTTTTTCACTGATATGTCCTTGAGGCTCTCAGTAGAGGTCACGCCCAAATACAGATCCAGAACACGCATCCTACACTCCCCATAGGCATTAACCATGATAGTAGGAAAAGGAAAAGTGTCTGATAGGTATCTGTGATCTGCTTAGGCTCAGCAAACATCAATGACAGGAGCATGCTGGGAAAGAGAGACAGTGAAATGGCTGTGGTTGTTGAAGACACAGAATTCCAGCCCTCTGTCATGGATGGAGAGAGTTATCAGGCTGGCAGGTTCGCCCTGTCTCTACGGGAGGAATGCTTCAGGTCTGCTTCTCTGTAACACGTGAGCAACATGGCAACAGGATTTTTATTTGCAGTGGGAGGTTTTACGGTCCTGTGACATACATTGTTGATATGTATTGGATGAATCTCACAAAGAAAGAAATATATAGACATTAGATTTACACACTAAATCAGCACTATGTTTAAATCACTAAATACTCCAGTGTGAAAATATTTATTATACACATAATTTTTGCATTTTTGAAAAAAATTTTGCATGGGAGAAATGTTCTCATTTCTAATGAAAATAATACAGATATACTTATGAAAATTTCAAATCGTAAATATTTGTCCTAAAATCGGGTTTAAGGTGAAAGATGAAATACAGCCTAATGCAACCTATTTAAATGTATTGATACTTTGTGCTCTATTACAAAAGGTTTAATTTGGAGTCTGAAACAACCTCTCGTTTTAGGCTTGTTCTTGGCTTGCTGGGAGACAACATAGACATCAGTGATCCCATCAGTGACCGATTCTACAAGGAAATCTGGATGGTGACAGCAGCCAAGAACGCCAGTGTGTATGACAAGGTAAATACGTCACTCAGAAAAGGTAAGAGCACAGCACTGACCTTCCTCACCGAATGCTCTAAATAGCCCTCGATATTTTTTTTTATTTTTTTTTTTTAGAAAAGACTGATCTTAGATATTTGATTAACCGGCTCAGTCAATAGAGCCGGATGTTTACTTGTGGTCTGATTCCGCCTATTTCTTTTGTCATTGAAATGCTTCAACAATCCAATATATGATAAATATGCTTAAGCCATAATATTAAGTAGGTTTATCACCATCACTGTCTCTCTGTGCAGGTCTTCAGATGTTTGCCCACTGATGCAGTCCTAAACTACAAGATTCTGAAGGACTACATGTCACGCCCATGCATGGCTGCCGAGGACCCTCCACAGGCCTGCGCTGAACTGAAGAAGATACGAGGCTTTCTGGTCCAATTCCCCTTGTATTTCCTGTCTGAGGAGAACCTTTTCCCTTCCTTCAACTCTAAAGAGGGAATGATGCCCATTGAGCTGTGGACATAGACTCTTTGAAACTGTAATGGCTGCCCTCTCTTTTGATGCTTGTCATCTAATGATGCTATATGTGCTGTAAGTAGCATGCATACATTTGTAGAGCAAAAACTACCTCTGAGCTATCCATAGACGCTAGCTTTACATGTTGCTGTGAAGTCTCAGACAGTCTTAGTGTACATAAACCTTCATTCTTCTGCTGTGTATTTGTCCTTTGTCCCTGCAGGTTTATAACTGAACTATTTTAATGAAATATACATGGACACTGCAGCTGTTGTAAATAATTAACTTTGTTCTTTCAGATTATTTCTTTACGAGTGCATAGTTCTTTTCATTTGTTCCTGAAAATGCAGGCAAAAATGCTTAAAATAACAACACAACCACTTCAGGTAATATCACAGTGACTTTAAATTTAAAAGCACGCAATAACTTGCTGAAATTCTCATTTTTACAAAATATATTAAGTACATTATTTCAATATATTATTTAAATTATTCTTATAACTTACATATGTATCTTTATTATAATACTTAAACTGGAAAAGTCACGGTCACATAGACACATATAATATGGTAACATTAAATGTCTTGCAACAATGTCTGCAAGTGTTTGCATTTTGTAATCCGTAAGCCCGTAGACTTACAACACAAGATAATTGTGGACCTTACAAACTCCCATGTAATGAGGATGAATTATGGTGGCACAAAGACAAACATAGAGAACGCTATGGCTTTGGTTAGGCAAATGCACATGCTTAATGTGATGCACCTAACCATTACATCTAGATTATTAGCCTCTTATATTACATTACATAAACTTCCTGAGGACACATTTCAGCTGCTCTTTCATCATACATATTTCCCATTGACAAAATAATGCTCACTGGAAATTTTCCACACAGTAGAGTGATCATTAACATGGTTTAAACCGATAATGTTTTTGAATGAGCAAAAGGTGGCTTGAACGGGTGCAGGTGGCGCTTTAAGCGACATAGAAACACCTACGTGAAGCCAATACAAAGGATCGCGGCTTACGCTAAGGAGCGAATACAAAAGATTTAGCCGAATGATCCTTTCTTAAGTGGAAAATCTGGAAAATCTGGTTTTGCTTTAAATATCAATGAGGTCATCACCGCTTTCATCACTTTCCACTGTCAGTTGACGAGTCCACCACTTTTTGACTTCAGACCCTGAGGAGGCCTCGTCACTCACAGGGTTCATCTTACACACCATGGACTTCACACTCGTGCGGCCTGCGGGAGAAACACAGGACTGTGATGTGAGTCACGGGTTAACCAGCCACACACACACACACACACATGGCAATATGCAGAATACTAATTACATGGAATAATAAACAATAAGTCTTTGTTTACCAACCCCTTTCAAAGAAACATGGGCGGTGACTTAAGAAAATTTACCAGAAATAAATATTTTTTACATGCCATTAAACAGATATTTTTCTTTGAATCAAATGAAAAACACAGACAGCAGCAGGAATATTAGGCTTCTGTTACTTTAAGAGCGAATGCATGGATCCAATATACTGATACACGTTTTCTCTCTCAACTGTTTATGTTCACTGAAGACATAACTGACTGTTTACAAGGATTCTTGCCAAGATGGGCATTTTGTTTGAATATGTCTGTTCAAACGTAAGAAGAGGTGAAAGAGAGCTCAATACAGTATTCATGTGCTGTATGAACACGCAAAACATCACACAGAGAAACAAATTGAGTTCCCTTTCATGTCTTCTTGCGCTTTCATCTGTCCCGAGTGTTGTTCACGTTTGTTCATTTTCTCACAACATTGCATTGTTAGAATTCATAAAAACGTTACCAGCGATTGACACCGTTTCATAAACTCACAGAATTTTTACTCGCATTTGGTGCTTGGCGAGTGTTCATTTTAGGCCCTGATAGGAAGACTTTTGATAAATTGTTTATACCAAAACAATTTGGTATAAACAAACAGATATATTTTATATGTGCTGCAATTTTCATGGTTATATATTTATATTAAATCATTTGTAATAACTTATAATGTATAGTTAAAATATAATAATTTTTATTTTTACATTTTGAACATATATTTTAAATTTGCTGCAATTTTAATTTTTATATTAATGCATCTTATATAAAAATCATCTATTATAATAACTTAAAATGTATATTTAAAATAGAATAATATTTTTATTTTTACATTTTAAACTGTTTTAAGTTTGCCACAATTTTCATTTTTACAAAATATATCAAGTACATTATTTCAATATATCATTTAAATGAGTCTTATAACTTATGCATATTTTTTAGAATACCTAAACATCTGGAAAAGTCTCTGTCATATAGACATATACTATGGTTACATTAACTGTCATAATGTCTGCAATTGTTTTTTTTTTTATTATCACGTTATTTTTTCTCATTTGTAAGCTGCTTAGGATAAAATCAATCATTTTGTAAATGTAACAAGCATGTGTAATAGTAAAAGTATATAAAGTTTGGTATAGACCTGCAGGCAGTCGCCACTGTCCCAGCTTCCTCTGGGGTCGGTCGGCGGAGTCCTGTCGGTAGCCGCTGCGGTCTGACAGGGTGGGGCTCAGTAAGGTTTGCAGGCCACTGTTCTGCTGGGTCAGGACCAGGAAAATCATTTTAAATCATTTCATTAGAATGAAGACTCAACGACACACACAATCTTTCAAGAATAGACGCTACTAAGGTTACCTCTGGCTGAGTGGGATTGTCCTGGTTATGTGCGTTGGTGTCCTCACTGGGGACGGTGGTCTCAATGCTGGGAGGGTTGAGCAGGCGGCGGAGATCCTGCTGTTGGCTCTCTCTCAGACTGAGAATGATGCTACATGACTGCTGCTGTTTCTGAAGAAGGAAGGTGATGTCAGTGTTTTCCTTCAGTTCATCCTGCATGTCTAATATCAGGATCTATCGCAGTGCCAGTATGCCGATATGGGACTAATTCTATTGCACAATGACAATAAAGGAAATTGAGCTGAATATGCAGTTATATCAGTGATCCTATCAGTGGATCTGTGTGAGTTTTATAGCCTTGACTCTGGCCCAGATTTTTTTTGAGAAGAGATATCACAGTTCTTTTCAAGAAAAGTCAGTTCACTCTGGCTATATATGCAATACCTCCAGGCAGCTATTTTGGGCATGCAATTCTTACAAAAGTGAGTGTTTGACATGGTAATGGATACGTTGATTTGTTTGGTCTTGGCGGAGTAGATCTGCAACGCTACTTCTGCTGCTGCTGTTGGTTAAGACCAACAGCTGCAGAACAATTATGGGACTTTCTACTGCCAATACAAACACGACACGCAGCTGTAAGCATATAAGACATGCTGCTAACATACAATATAGCATACATGAATAACCCATAGCAGATCTATACAGGTGGAGCTGGGGAAGGTGGAGGGTTTCTGAAAGCGTGCTGCACTGCTACATCAAATACTGACCGAATATTTGAAGGGTGAGCAGCGAGCTCATTGGCTACTGATACAACAGGAACCAATCAGCTGTGCTCTATAGAGAATGACGTGATTGCAAGCAGATTGAGTAAAGGACTTTGTATAAATCTCAAAAAACTGCTCGACAAACTCACATTTTAATAACATTTTAAATCTGCAACAAAATCTGTACCAATTAATGTTGTTTCTTATGCTCAAATAGTGTAAAAAATATCTCAGGTTGGTCCAGCCAATGTGCATGTGCAGTTCCAAGCTCAGGACACTGATTGTTTCTAACAACATCTGCAGTGACACGATTGGCTCTTTTATTTAGAAGACGGGACTTATTATGCCGTATTACAAATTGCACTTTATCCCATTCAGAGTAATATGAATGAACAGTATTGGTACATATTCAGTCTTTGGTGATATTTACAGCTGCACAAGAAAATAAAGCTGCAAAAGGTTGTCTGGCCGAGTTTATCTGATGTAACGACTGAGACAATCAGACGCATAACTATTTGTAACATTGAACAAATAAGCTTTAAAGCCCACTCTTAGGAATGAAACATCCCCCCAAAAGAGACAAAAGAGCAGGAAAGGTTTCAGTCGCCAGGGCGACGATCAGATAAGATGTCTTTATTGCTGTGAAAAATGTGGTCATGTGGTCAAGACGGAAGCCATAGGAAAGACCTACAGCCCTTAAAACAGACTTTCCTTAATTAATTTATAGACGAACTGATCTATAAATGAACATGCATCCCAGGACATTATGTGTGATCATTTACTGTCTTGTGTAGTGTCTTTTAATAGTTTTTTTTTTTTTTTTTTTTGATACTGTGTATTTTATAATAGAACCAACGGTCAATGTAACCTCACCTATACCATGTTTGGTCTCTATAAATTGGTACTTTGAAGATTCAAATGATCGTGTATATGATATGTCGATAGCTGCGCAACATATTAGTATTACAAGAATCTTTCATAGTTTCTTGATCAGCAACCAATCCAGCTGCACATGCAAATGAGCACGCTTGAAACAGAGTCATAAATCCAACCAACAGAGGAATTTCCCGCTTGGAAATTCCACCTTTCTTATTGATTGAGCCAACCCTGAGAGGTGGGACCTTTTTCAGGCTTTAAATTGCATCTACACAAGCCCTTCCTTCTCTTGGCCTTCTCGGTAAGTTCGGGGTGCTGTGCTGTGCTGTCCTGCGTGGCTTCAGCAGGCCAAAGGGCAGCAGCCCTTGACTCACAACCAGCCATGTGCTCATGGAGAGAGAGAACTTTCAACCAGAACAGAGTCGAACTAACCATGCAAGTTCATCATATATTCTTCATCCAACGGAGAAGAAAACGATTTTGCAATCGTTTTCTTCTCTTTTGGATGAAGAAGATATGATGAACTTGATGGTTAGTTTGACACTCAATGTTTGACACTCACGGAACCATCAAAATCCTTTTTCAGGAACTTCACGAAACACTTTCACTGCAAAGGCCATGCAAGTACACATTTAATGAGGTGCTTTTCATGTTCAATGAATCTCTTCCGTAGCTTCATTACATTTCCGGTTTCATTCTGTCACTTACCATCTACCCGTGTATGTGTAATTGTTTGTATGTTAGTCATGTGTTCGTGATTTAGTTAATAAAACTTGTGCACTATTTCAATTTGGTTCTGATTCTCTGCTTGCAACAAAGTTTATTTTGCGATTTAGATTTTGACTACAGGCTCTTAGTAGTACTGTAAAGTAAGAAAGACATTTCCCTCCCCCGGAAATGAACATTTCTTAGAATTAATAAACAATTAACACTGAGTGTTCACGGGACGAACAGGTTGATTGATTGTAATATTAAAATTGCCATATTAAGTTAACTCTATCAATTGATCCAAACATTCATAATAAATAATAACAAGTTATGATTGATTATTAATATTTCTTTAGAGCTAATTTGCTACACTGATAAAGGTTATATTAATGTCAAGGTGTGGTGTTAGATTTACATAAATATTGCATGAATTCTCAAACTGACTGGTCCCACTGCATATCAGATTTATTTCCACATATTAAAGTGGGCCAGATTGAAATTGGCAATGTCAAATTCAATGTGAAATCAGATTTGGGCCACGTTGAGATGTAGAGTGAATGGAGTCATTGTCAAACCGCTGAACTGGTTTCAGTTAAGTCGGGTAAATGTCATGTCTCTCAGGAGTGTGAGAACCATGGTGTTTGTGTTTGTGTGGACTCACGGCTCGTATGCGTTTCAGGCACTTCTTTAACCACATGCGGATGGTTTGTTTGGCCACCTCCTCCTCTATAGTGTATTCAAGCTGCTCTCGCGCCAACAGCTCCTCCAGCTGAAGACTCTTCCGGATATCAACCGAGCGGTATGACAACATGCTGAAACATACACGATTAACGACTATAGACTACAGAACAAGCTTAGGGACCAATATGAACAACATAATAGCAATTAATTGACCCTTTCAGGTTTTGTTCTCTTTGGGCTGGGGAAGAAGATTAGAGTTTTGATAGCAACTCTATTACAAAATAGGACATTTTGATTTATCATGATATGAAAATGTGCTCTAATAAATATCACAGTTCTTCCTAACCTCAGTACATCATGGAAGGTGACATCTCCTCCATTGTGCAGACGCTCCATCTCGTAGCACATGTGTTTGAAGAGAAGCTTATCTTTGTCCAGGTCAACTTCCAGACGACCTCTCAGCAGACGGAGCAGAAACTTCACCCGAGAGGTTGGAATCACTCCCTGTATCAAAATCATCCAGATCTATTGCTGACGTTGGTTTCAGAAAACTTCATATATCATCATAACAGTAAATACCTGCTCAAACAGCTAAGAAAAAAAAAGCTACGCACTGTAAGAAAATTATCAGACTATTGCTCTGTTCCTAGTGGGCTGTCTATCTAGACAGCATTTTAAGGGATCAAAGGCACGTTTCTTTTATTAAATTCTAAGGAAGCATCATATGTATCCTTGGAGTAGGCTATCCCAGAATGCTTTGTGATAAACTATGAATGCTGAAATAGAACTAGCAATATACATTATAAATTAAAAAAAATTTACTTTTGGTTTTGTCCAAAATAGTTTTGGAGGACCAAAATCACTGACCGAAACAGTGACATTTAATTAGCACTTCTCTGAGGATGCGTTTTGACTGTTTCAGTGTCAGTGTGCTACAGCAGGTAAACATGTCAGACATTTGACCATGACCAAAAAGGATGCTAGATTAGCAATAATGTAAAATCTGTTTGGCTGAAATATCGAGAGGCGGGCAGCTTGATGTCGAAGAACTTTACTATGGTTTAATTTATCACAAGAGAACAAGACATTAATTTCGATTTTGGTTTTTGGACAAATGAAAAATCAAATTTCCGCTTCAGTTTGCCTATGCAGAGTTACAATCAAATCAGCTTTGTGAGGTTCCATAACAGTCAGGATGATTCCGAAGCAGATCACTGGACTTTGGATCAGAGCTCATGTCTCTAATTATGGACCTAGTCCTCCCTGTGCTCAGCTGTTACAGTCTTATGGTTTCAAGTGTTTCTAGCTGATCCCATCTTGACTCATTAAGGCCAGAAAATGACTGGTGTGCCTCATTTAACTCATATACACGAGCATATATTACTAATCCTACGGGGGGAGGTCAAATCTGCATGCACTTCTCTCTGCTGCTCTCAATAAGGCTGTTTCCACCTAATGAAGATGACAGCTCAACACCTCTCACTATCTGTGACAGGCAGTAATAACCTCCAATTACTCTGGAGGTGAGAATGTCGATGCGTGTGATTCATTCATTTGCAGCTTCAGAGCCGGTGCGGAGAGCACACATGGGTATTAACTCAAAATCATCCCCACTGACAGCCGCTGATCACAGGCACATCCCCTCCTCCTCACCTCCCGCTTGTCATCCACCATGTTCCAAATGATCTGGAAGTGACGCAGGTCGTTGTAGCTTAGCAACTGGTCCTCCTCGGTAGAGTAGAACAAAGAAAAATTCTCCACAATGATAGCTGAGGGGGAGATAAAGTGATTAGGGTTGGGTTAGCTTTCAGCTAGGCTCTCAGTGCTTGAGTATAAGGTTGAAAACACTCTAAATAAGTGTGCAAATGCATATATGAATACTTTGCTGATGCATTGCAAGGACATGGTCCTGTTGTACACACTTTGTGTTCTTGCATTTCTGTGGTGGTAATAAACCTCAAGGGGGTGATAGAGTAAAGGCCTGGGTATACTTTATTTTACGCAATCCGCTCTGTCAGCGCGGTCACAAAAATTGGGCTGCAATGCGTTGTTGTCCGCACACCTTGTCCGTGAACCCTCCTAATGACGAAAATGACATCACACGGACGGCCAAAGTACACTTTGGGCTTTTCAGTACCTTCAAATGCCTCTATTAAAATGTCAAGCTATTGACAGTTAATGCTAATGTCCACTATAGCACCCCTTTTGGCAATGCTGGGAGTTCCTCCAAATGCAGGTTTGGAGTTGGTCTAGCTAGTGGATCATATTTAACCATGGAAATCTTGCTAGCAAGATTGGGCAAAATTTAATTTTAATTACACTAGCGTTCAAAAGTTTGGGGCTGGTAATATTTTAATTTAATTTTTTTGAAAAGTCTCTTCTCACAAAGGTTGCATTTATTTGATAAAAAAATAATAATACAGTAAAACATTTTTAATATAGTAAAATCCTATTACAATTTAAACTGGTTAACTGTTTTATATTTGAATATACAGTTGTAATCAAAATTATTCAACCCTCATTGCAAATCAGGTTTTTGGGCAAAATTTACAGACTTTCAGCTGTTTGCAATGAACAAATCAAACAAAAGTAATTGAAATAGCTCAACACAACAAATGTTTCAAGTGGTTTCCCAAAATTCAATTCCTCATGAGCAATGGCCTCCAGTTCAGTAATATTCTTGGGTTTACGTGCTACAACTGCCTTCTTCAAATCCCACCAGAGATTTTCTATGGGGTTCAAGTCGGGTGACTGTGATGGCCACTGTAGAATCTTCCAGGATTTCTTTTGCAACCAAGCCTTGGTGGAATTTGAGGTATGCTTGGGATTATTGTCCTGTTGGAAGGTCCAATGATGCCCAAGCTTCAGCTTCCTCACTGACAGCATGACGTTTTCTCCTAGGATTTCCTGATATACAAAAATGAATCAATCTTGCCTTCCACACGCTGCAGGTTTCCAGTGCCAGAGGATGCAAAGCAGCCCCAAAACATCACCGAGCCACCATCACGCTTAACTGTAGGCAGAGTGTTTTTTTCAGCATATGTGTCATTCTTCTTCCTCTAGACATACTGCTGATCCACAGGGCCGAAAAGTTCCAGTTTTGTTTCATTGCTCCACAGAACAGAATCCCAAAACTTCTGTGGCTTATTTATATGATTTTGAGCAAATTGGAGCCGACTTTTCTTGAGCTTTTGGGTCAGTAGTGGTGTACGTCTTGGATATCTAGCATGGAAACCTCAGTGCCTGTTGCCACCAAGTCTTGCTGAAGGTCTTTTCACTTAAGAGTTTTTCTGAACCTGAGGTTTCTCAGAAATCTGGTTGCAGCCATCAATAGCTTCCTTATTCTGCCCTGTCCAGGTAGTGTAACCACTGTTCATTTAACTTTGAACTTGCAAACTATGCTTTCCAATGGTGTCTCTAGGAACATTTAATGCCTTTGCTATCTTTTCTATCCTGTTCCTTGTTTGTGAAGGGCGATGATATCTTCTCTTATCTTTTTGGACCATTCTTTTGACTTAGCCATATTTCTAACATTCGGTCAAATGCGGCACTCAAAAAACCTAGCCAGTTCAGGTTTTTCATGTGTTCTAGTTCAAGCACACCTGGTGCAACTAATGAATCCCTTGATTGGTTGCATCAGGTGTGCTTGAGACAACACCCGTTTTGCAGATGTGTGCTGTTGTGAGGGACTCTATTCTGGGGGTTGAAAAATTTTGAGACTGTAGAAGTCATTAAAAGTTGCATTTTCAGTTGAATTTGGGGAAACCACTTGAAATATGTGTTGTGCTTGAGCTGATTTGCAATGGGGGTTGAATACTTTTGATTACAAATGTATTTTTAAATGTAATTTATTCCTGTAATTTTCAGCATCATTACTACAGTTTTCATTGTCACATGATCCTTCAGAAATCATTCTAATATACTGGCTTGGTGTTAAAGAAAAATTTCTTAGTATTATCACAATGGTTGTGCTGCTTAATATTTTGAGAACTGTGATACTTTTTTTTCCCAGGATTATTTGATGACTAGAAAGTTCAAAAGAACAACATTTATTGAAAGCTTTTGTAACATAAAAGTATTTTCTGTAATTTTTGAACAATTGAATCACTCCTTGCTAAATAAAAGTATTGATCTTTCAAAAATCATACTGACCCCAAACTTTTAAATAGTAGTGTACATTTTTACACATTAAAAAAAATATTGTAAACACAATTTCACCTCAAGTTTCATTATCAATTATTTTTATCAATTTTTGCAATTCTGTATCTTGTTTGCTACATCACTTCAAACCGGAATAAGACATTTTCAATTAAATTTTGACTGTTGCACAAGCCAGCTTGCAATTTAAGCAGCCTGATGTGAAAACCAGCACCCCACAGCATATGCTGGTGACCAGAAAGTGTGCACCAAGAGCAATAGAGACAGAGAATAAACTGGCTTTGATTCAAAGCCTCATTCATATTCAGTAGTGACCAGCGCTGAGCTACGAGAGAAAGTCTTTCAGAGGGAGGAACCTCTCTGTTCTGGGAAAAAAGGGATAATAAACATGGAAGGACGTCAGGAAGAATAATGAGCAGCGATATTGTATTTTATGAGCTAGTTTAGCTAGCGTCTAAAGCGGGAGGAAATTAGATGGGACCCTGAGAGATGAAACAGGATATTGTGCCTGCAGTCAGGGGAAAGAGGTGCTTACCTACGAGCAGGTTGAGCATGATGTAAGCAATGATGACATAGAAAGAGCAAAAGTAAATGAGGGCGCCAGCATAGTTTCCACAGTCTGTCTCCCAGTAGCGATGTTTGTCCGGGGTGCAGAATGGCGCCTGCACCTGGGGAACAAGGCAGACAAACAAACATAATCAACACATGAGGCTCGCAGCTGATGTGTTTTGATTTAAATAAATCATTCAAAAGTATGTTGAATGAAACAATATGCTGTTCAGTTATATTTGCAATTCTATTTGATACATTTAAATGATTTGTTTACTGTTTTTTTTTATGATTTTTACAGCAAGGACACTTGCTTGCGGGCAAAATGGAGCTGCCATCCAATCTCTTACCATGCAGTCATGCATGATCTTATTCCAGTCTTCACCTGTGACTATTCGAAACAGTACAGTGATGGCTTTCCCCGCGGTGGAGAAGTTTGCGTGCCTGTTGGCGAGAGAGAAAAAGGTAACAGCTCATGCAGAGTCACTTCCTCTCATGCTGTCAGCTTCACCTGAAAACTGATTCTCCCAAATACAAGTAGGGCCTTCAAGCAAAACGTTTAGACAACACCAATTATATCAGCGCTGTGGGTAGTAGTAAGTGTGTTACAAATCTTGCCTCTGGTACGCTGACACAGTTAAATCATTGCCTCCATGTGCCATAAGACGGCTCACCTGTTAATGTTCTCGCCATATTTGACAGTGCCGAAAAGGACGACGCCAGCGAAAGCGTAGCACAGCAACAGCAAGAACATGCCCACGATAATAAAGAAACTCTTGTACATGCTGACGACCACAGTTAGCAAAAGCATCTTTAACGTCACCTGTAAATAGAAGACAGTTCAGTGGGGGAGGAAATGCACTGTAGGGTTTGAAATGGACAAGGAAAAATTATTTTCATGTTATGTTGAATATTTTTACAAGCATAATCATTTATGCATACTCACATGCTTCCCACATATGGTGAAAAACCTGAATACTATCACACATGTGCCCATCATGTATGTGTAAGCATTCTAAAGAAAGAGAAATTCAAGTAATTACTTTGTAATATAACGTACATTTAAAGTCAACACAGGTTGAGTCAAAGTGCTGTACTGTACATCACAAAACAAAACAAAACCATGAATGTTACATTTAAATCATAATAATTGTAGCTTTTGTGAATCTGAATTCAAACAACAGATCAGATCATTGGTTTTCTACTGTTTAAAAAGCAGTGCATTTTCGATCTGACACGTATGATAGGCCTCAAATTTCAATTAATTTGGTATTGGAGTTTACTAGAAATTTTGTATAACCTTTTGTATGTACAAAAATTAAAAAAGTAAAGGAAGATTGTTTCCAGACATGTAATTCATCAGAAGACCCCAATAGCTATATAAGCTGTTGTTTTCCTTAATTATTTTGTTAATCGGAAAAACATTTTTGTGTAGTGCTCTTTTGTATTTGGATATTGTATTGCCTAATTGTAATTGTGCAAGAAATTAAAAAAGAAAAAGGAACTCAAATCATTAAGGTAAAAGGTACAAATAAAATCCCATTGATGAAAATGCATGACATTTTAGTGTGTACCAGTAAAGCAAAGTGCAAAATGATCCATATGACTCCCAGGGATGTGACGAGTAGGTCATATCTGTTTCTCCTGCTCTGCCAGTATCCGGCTGGTGACATAGCTATCAGCTTCATAGTCACCTGCAGCAGAGGAATTCATTATGTCATGACCGTACAACACTTCCAAAAGACCTCATGAACTGCAAAGCCTCTGGTGAATTTTTAAACTTTTTTGTGGCTGTAAAAAAAGAAGAAGAACTCATGAAAGAACAGGAAACAGATTTTAAAATGTACTGTAAAATATTTACCTCCAGAACAAAAATGAAAGTGAAAACCACAGACATTGTGGCCAAGGGAAAAGTAACCGGGTCAAGTACATCCCACTGTAACACATACACACTAATTAATTTGTTATGTTAGTGCTAAGATACAACAAAAATATGTTTTGATGCTGTAACCCTCCTCACCTTAACAGACAGAAGGACAGACTGTGCTAACACCAGCACTGCGATACCTCGCTTGAAAAAAGGATGCTGGGTGATGTCGTACATTTTTGCACGGAATCCACCATTTTCTGCAAATGCAAGAGAAGGAATTTCAGTTTTGAAAGAACAGAAAATTAGGGCTTTTCAGCATGAACCGGTACTGTGGTTATAAAAAAAAGACCTGGTCAAAATTCCCTGACCTTCAGAATAATTTCTGTGCTCTCTTTTATCATCAATTAAAGGACTCACTGAGAGAAAATCGTCTCAGCTGTTCATTCAATGCACTCGGTAAGAGCTTTACCCTTGGCCTTGCTTTTACAGATCCGCCACATCATCATTTTGCTGTCTTTTAGCTGGTCACAAGGTCTGAGTGTCATTCATCATGCACTGTAATCACAAGTTCATTTCAACAGCCACAGAATGCAGACAGATTATTTGAAGCTGGTTTCAATAAGAGTTGGAATTGATGTGGTTACTCTGCCGAGTGCTGACTAAGGTATTGATTTTTCTGTTATTCCAGTGTGCAGACTACCTGGCAGGAAGCACAAAGGAAGCTCCGCCTAATGCCGTCTAGCTCTCTATATCTATCCCTTATTTTAGTTCTTATACGGCATGCACTGAAAATTATTTCAGTAGTATTATTTACATACTATTATACGTTTTATCACGATTTAAGGTCTGACGCCCATACACGTTTAGGGCAGAAAAATAAAGAAGAACCACCTTCGATGCTTGGACCCCTAAATATTATTATTATTAGTAGTAGTAGTAATAGTAAGGGGATGTTTGCTTTTTGAGACTGCTAAGACCAGCTGAATATGTGGATGTTAATTATGCTTGATAGTGGTAGAAAAAGTAAAAAGAAAGAAAGTAAACAACTATTCACAGTTGATCATGGTTTGAGTGAAATTTAATTTAAGTAGGAAGGTTGTGTAACTTGCAGTGTGGCTTACAAAATGCATTTTGCTTTGTTTGAACAAAATTAGATTTCAGCTATCAGTATTGGAGGAAGAGCATGCTGCCTCCATGCTGATAGTGAAAAGCCATTGGTTCAGCCCATTGTTTACAAAGGCGGCATAGATGAACAATTCTTTTGTAATTTACAAAGAACTGCCGCATGTTTTTCTATTGGTTAAAATGATAATTGAACAAGTCAGACGTACTTAATGACTAGAAAAGAAAAGTACTGAAAATCTGTCTATTGCAGCCTTTGGAGTTTGGTTCAAAACATATCAATCAAACATGTCAGTAGATTGGAGCATTTTTTGTGTCTAATTGCCACATAAAATATGCCTGGATAATTGCCTACTATGATAATTGTGTTTATTCTTTCCTGCTGTTATGAAACATGTCTTTGAAGTGTCTGTTTCTAGGCGAGCCAACGGCAGTCAAACATAAAAACATAACGGGCTACCGCCGTCACTGCAGAGCCTGCGACTGCCAAATCAATCAGTCAGTCAGTCTACGGGAGACAAAGGGAGAATCGCTCTTCTCTCTTTGGCTCTAAGGTGCCCACAGAGCCCAAAGTCATTCATACTACAGGCAGCTATAACTTCTGACTCAGAAGTGGAGTGGTTATTATTAAGTGTGTGATTGCCTTCGGGGTGTACCCACCGCTGAAAGCTTAAATTTAGTTTGTTCTCTACTACGGCAGAAGAGAGCTGATTAAATGCTTCAGGAAACACATGCAAAGCAGGGATGGCTCATTAGCGAAAGAAGGGAAGATGAAGGGAGGGAAAAAAAGGGAAAGAAAGAGATGAGAGACTGAGAGGTTGCTGCTGAATAATACACTCGCTTCTCTGGTGAGGTTTATCTGCGCACCACCGAAATGTCTCTTTGTGGCTGTCTGACTATTTTTGGAGGATTCAATGATACCTCAACAAAATATCAAACAGTGTGATGCAGTTTATACTTTAATGCAATTCAAATATATTATTATTCTTGCTACTTATATATCTCTGTTGCTCAAACACATGATGGCGTCCAAAAGGCAACAGAGCAACATTATGGTGGTGCACAAATATACATTTTAATTGTGGAGACCTCCAGTGAGCACTTACCTGGGCGAGGGGGGAGGTGGAGTGGCTGAGCAATCTTCAGACGACTTTTCAAATCTTCCCATCTCCTCTGATCCACAGTCAAAAGAGCAGTGCCCTAAACAAACACATTTAACACATCTGATCAGGGAACAGCCAACAAGCACAGCTACTAATCAACTAACAGTAAGAAAACTGCCCTACCTTATTTTCATTAAAGTTGGCTATGACAACACCAACAAAAAGGGTGAGCCCAATCATACAGCCCAGGAACACAAAGACGTGGATATAGATGCCATGAATCTGAGACAATCAAAGGTCCTGATCAGTCCAGTCCAGATTAATCAGTTTAGTAGTATAGAAGTCACTGTTAAAAAAGTAACTTACCGGTCCCACTCTGTGTATGATGACGTCTCTCACCTCCACCCAACCCTTCAGTGACAGCACCTCAAACAGAGCCAGCATGGCATTGCCCACATTATCGAAATTGAAGTTTCGAGGGTTTGCCCTAAAAGCAGCAGCACAAAATTGTATTTGGGTGAAAGATGAAACAGACATTTATTTGTTATATCCCCTATAAAGCAATACCATGTAACCAAGCAATGTGTTCAAAAGGCATTTTTAAAATGTGTCTCTTACAAACAATGTATTTTTGTCAACTGTTCATCTGAGTTGGTTAAGGTCAAGAAACGCTGATTAAATGTACCAAAATGTTATGGTTTCTGTCTGCCTGTCTCTGTGTGTGTGTCTGTGTGTGTGAGAGAGAACATGCTGCTCTACGGGCTGAACACAAACACAATACCTAGTGAAACAAATGTCTTGTTCTTTTCCTGTTACCACGCAAAGTGCTCAAAGATAAAAGTGCGACAACCTCTCTCTCTCTCTCTCTCTCTCTCTCTCTCGCGGGAGTGGGTTGTTGCGTGAGATTGCACGTGTGAAAGCGCCTGTGCCTTTTTTCTGGCTTTTCTGTTTTCCCCTTCCTGTTAGCTAGGGAATTGTAAAGTAAGGAAAGATGACTTGTTGGTAAAAACCAGCCATGTGGCGTGGTTTGCTGGTATGGTGTCTCCTCCAGTACAGGGAACACCACCATTATCGCTCCAGAATGGGTGCAGGTGTGTATCTGAACCTGGTGTAAATGTTGAAAATGTGCTATTGGTAGTAGAACAAATAAGATTTGATAAAATCGTCTCTGCGTCACGTATGAATTCAGCGGAGTGAAGCGCTGGTTAACTGTGAATGGATTCAGGTGAAGAAAACATTTATTTCTGTGACACTGTAATCGGAAGTAATTATGAAAGAACTCATAAGATTTGGAAAGACCGTGAGCCCAATGAGATCAATTCCTTTAGGATGTAAAAACAGTATGCTGAATCATGTTTTGTCCTTTAGAAGACAGGTGTATATGTTTTTGACCACACCAGAGAAATCATTGGAAATCTCTTTCCTTGTTAATCATGGTGAGAGTTTGTATATGGTCTATGCACGCATCAATCAATCTACGGTGCTTTGATTGTAGAGATTTGGGACACAAACACCTTTCTTGTCCGCATAAACACGACATTAATGATCAGCTGCTGCCGCCATCAGAGCAAAACAATCGAAAGTATCTTCTCAATGCACGGATGAGGGCTCAAGTGATGATGAGCAATGGTTAGATGGTTTGGATGTGGCAAGAATAGATGTTAAGGACTTGTATACTGTTGATCAAATTAATAGATTTTTGGATGAGACAAAAGGAAATGTGGGAGTTGAAGTGTTTGAGTTGAATTTTTTCTGAAGTGTGAGTGAAAAATCTAGGTAAACAACCGTATTTGGGTGAAATTTAGCAATATGGTCTCTGCTGCACGTTTACCGGTAGATTGTTTTTATGTATCAGATAATATGAAAAATATAATTTTGCATAGTACAATTTTTCTACAGCTTTTTCTGATTACAAGTTAATTACAGTTGACTGCAGTTTGGAAAAGTGAGCTTATAAGAGCTGCTATTGCCGTTTCATTGTGAAACTCTTGAATGATAAAAGTTGTGACATTTTTCAAAACTTTTGGGTAACTTGGAAAAAAGAAAAAGAAAGATTCGAGAACATTATCCAGTGGTGGGAGATTGGGAAGACACATATTAAAGGGTTCTGTCAACAATATGTTTCTCATTCCACAATGTGTATGGAAATGACATAAGAGTGGATTGTAAAGAGTTAGAGTGGCTGCTTCCCCTGTTGTCATATGGGGGAAGGGTCCTAATTTGTAATAACCTAGTGGCATAAGATGACCATACTTGAACCTCCTGAAGATATTGTACAACAAATTAAAAAATCTTTAATAGACTTTTTGTTGGTGTGGACAATATTGTTGAAAGCACGAGTATTGTTTTTGCCCAGGCAAGAAGGAGGTCAATGTTTAGTGAACATAAAGTCAAGGATAAAAGCCACAGCCCAGGGCTTCCGGGTTGTGACCAAGATGGCTGCGTAACTTCAATGCTCTCCGACGGTTTTTCTAAAACCAACCCTAAAACTTTTGAGATTTGACTGTAAGTGAAATTTTACTAAAGATGGAGGCTAGGGTTGTCACAAGGAGGAGAAAGGCGACGGGCACAGCACCTATTACTGAGGATTTACAGCAGGACAACCGAAACTGCTCCCCGGTACACGACCACGAGGCCGAGGGACAAGAAATGGAGGAGGTTAGCTTGGAGAAGGTACTAGCCGAACTGAGAGATTTTAGACGTGACAACAAGCAACAGCTCTCGGAGATACAACAAGACTTGCACAAGACAAGTGATCGATTGGATGAAGCTGAGGGTCGAATTGAGGAGGTGGAAACGGCCATGCAGGCGGCGTCATCGTTACTTACGCAACTTTTACAACGCCAGGACAATATCGAGGCTAAACTTATTTATCAAGAGGGACGTGCACGCCGAGAAAACATAAGGATTTACGGTATTCCCGAGGGGGCTGAAGACAATAACATCGAAGGTTTCATAGATCAACTGCTTCGGGATTGCCTGGATTTCCCCCAGGACACGCAGATCAAAATTGAAAGAGCCCACAGAGCCCTTGGCCCTAAGCCCGCTGACGTGCAGTCAAAGCCTCGCTCCATCATCGTCAAGTTTGCGAGTTACAAAGTCAATGAAGAAGTTATCCGTAGAGCTTGGCAGAAGGGACAAGTGCAATACAACAATGACCGCTTCTACGTGGACCACGATTACCCACCAGCTATTATCAAGAAACGTGCAGAGTACAATCAAGCAAAGAAGATATTGAAGGAGAGAAAAATTAAGTTCCAAACTCCCTACCCTGCAAAACTACGCGTCTTCTATGGAGATGAGACCTGCCTGTACCAGACCGCGGCGGAGGCAACGTCAGACATGGCATCACGGGGGCTCCCAGTCAAAGTTATCCGTCCCTCAGTCGTAGCAGAACTACGACTGCTTTCACCTTGGCAAGTGGCCGGAGTCCAGGACGCAGTAACACCGAGCGGCGCGTGCCCCCAGGAGGATGTTTAGCCCCGGCAGCGGTTTAAAGAAAAGTTGCAGGAATTCAGACGTCTACCCCCTACAGATAAGTGATTCCCCATAGAACGGATCTAGACGGATGCTTGTTCGAATAAGATAATAGAATTGGTCCTTTTAGTTTTAATTGTGCCCTCGTTTTACTCCGAACTTCAATTGTAAACTAAAATGTCGGGGCATACAAGCATTTTGAAGACTGGCTAAAATCATAATGCAGCCAACACAGTGGGCCCCCGTGCTACGTGATGAGCGGGCTTTCCCCTGAAAGGTGCTCTAACATCTCGAGCCCCTTAAAGGTTCAGTTCATTAGAACCTCTGATCTGGAAGCAAACCTTATGCAAAGAAATGACATTTCGAGATTTCTGTTAAAGATTTCACCATATTTTAGTTATGCTCAAGTTTTATTTGTTCTTGTTAAGGGTGTGCATTACTTTTATTTGTTTTGTATGGAGATGTTTTTAGTTAAAAACATAGGAAACCATGGTTGACAAACATATTCTAAAATTTGCATCATTCAATGTGAATGGAGTTCTTAACCCCACTAAGAGAAATAAAATATTGTCTAAAATGAAAAAGGAAAAAGTACAAATTGCTATATGTTACAAGAAACACATCTTAATTCATTGGAACATGAAAAATAAAAAAGGATGGGTTTTTCTAAAATATATTATTCGTCCTATAAATCAGGTCATAGGCGGGGTGTGGCCACTCTAATATCACAAAGAGTCCCATTTGAACGTATCTCTGAAACTACAGACAAAGAAGGGAGATTCTCACTGATAACTGGTAGAATAGATGGAGTCCAAATAACACTGTTTAATGTATACGCTCCCCCAGACAGTGACATTTCATTTTATAGAAAATTGTTTGATTTAATGGCACAATCAACTGGTTTACTTATCTGTGGAGGGGATTGGAATGTACGACTTAATTCTAGGCTTGACTCCTCCAGACAGATTCCCCAAACGTCTTTGCAGAAGAAAATTAAAATCCTCATGTCAGAATATGGTATTGTGGACATTTGGAGGGATTTATATCCAACAACCCGAGATTATACCCACTTTTCCCATGCACATACAGTATACTCTAGAATTTATATATTTTTTTATTTTTAAAAGGGATCGCCATAGGGTATGTAACTGTGAGATTGGAAACATTGACCTTTCTGACCATGCTCCCCTATTGCTAAACGTAGAAATAAATGACGATTTCAAAAACATACAGTGGAGGTTGAATACAAGTATACTGAACGATCTACAATTTACCAAAATAATCAAATCTGACATAAAAACGTTCCTAAAAGAAAACCTTAATGGTGAGGTGAGCCCAGAAATCGTCTGGGACACATTGAAAGCGGTTATGAGGGGTAAAATTATATCTTTCTGTGTCCAGAAAAAGAGAGCTAGGCAATCTAGATTATCAGAGTTAAATAGGGAGTTGAACGAGCTGGAGAGAAAACATAAGAGAGAATTAAAACCGGAGTTTAATATTAAGCTGAAAATATTGAGAAATAATATTAATGCACTATACTTAGAAGAAATACGAAAGAAGATGATTTATACCAAACAAAAATACTATGAATCTGGTGCTAAGTTTGCTAAACTCTTAGCGAGCAAATTACAAAAGCAACAAGCAGATAATACAATATGTAAAATAAGAGACCAAATTTCTAAGAAATAATATTACAGAAAGGGAACTATCCTATGCCATATCAAGGCTTAAAGTAAACAAATCTCCTGGCCCAGACGGATTTACTTCTGAAAGGTACAAAAAATTTAAATTGGAGCTATCACCATTCCTCCTTCAAATATTTAATCTGGCTCTAAAAGAGGGTAAGATAGCCTGACTACGTCAGACTTCCTACTTCCGCTAATTTCATTTCGCTCCTGTAGTCAGTCTGAGATAGCAGCCTATCTCTCAGTTTTCCTCCAGCCTGAAAACAGCCGGCCAATCAACGAACAGAGGGCGGGCTGAGAGCTGTGACGTAGACGCTAAGCGCCG